AGTCTCCCTCTGGCGCGCCCCGTGCTCGCCCAACCTCGGACGACAGCGATGCCAGCGCGGGGTCGTGGGGGCGCGCACAGGCAGGAGCTCGCGGCTCCGAGGGCCAAGCTGCTGCACCGTCGAGCTCGACTGGGGAGGACACGCGAGAGGACCGAAGACTCAACCGAGGGCCACATGTGAAGGGGCCACACAAATAAAAAGATTCCCAATTTGTTTCCCATATTTTCTGGGTTTCTGTCTTCCCCCCCACTTCCCGTATTTTCCTATATTTTCTAAGGAATTGCCGATTAATTGGGTCTGTGTGTTTCTTTCCCTCCTGAACATACAGAGGACAGGGCCGCGAGACAGAGGACATCAGAGCACCCTTTGCTTTGGAAGCTCTGCCCTACTCATCTAACTCGACCCGGCAGACCAGGCCGCACCCCCCCCAGCCCACTGGCATCCGAAGAGTCGGCACCGCGCGTCAGCGAAATGGCCCAGCAGGGGCTGGTCTGGCCGATGCAGGGGCCAGGTTGGCGGCGGAGGATGGGACGCCTCTCGCTCGGGTCTTTCAGGCTCTGGCCTGGCCTGCGCAATGGCTGCGCAATGGCTTGTGTGCGTCTGGCACCGAGCGTCCGCGCAGCGGCTTCAGTCGGCACAGATCGTCTGCGCAATGGCTCCGCAGGGGCTGGCCTGGCCGATGCAAGGGCTGGTCCGGCGGAGGGGGATGTGACATTTATCGCTCTGGCCCTCAGGCTCTGGCCTGGCTTGCTATGCCCCCAATCCGGCCCCATCTCCACTTCCCCTCCCATTCCCCCCGATGCCCTGTCGAGACCCTTGCTTGGGTCGAGGTCGGGCTCGTCGCTGAAGACATTCCTGGAACTTCCCTCCCAGGAGGCGTCATCTCCGCCGGCCCGTCCGCCTGGCCAGACCAGTGCACGAACGCACCATGCATTGTACGAGGACAGCAACGGTGAGAAGGGTCAGCCATTGCACACACGGCCCTCTGATCACAAATTGCCTAGGCTACAGCCGCTGCCGCCCACACCACCTGGGTAGAATTCACCCCGGCCGACAACGCGACCCACAACAAAGGGCCGAGTGAGCACGGTGTCCGCGCAGCCGGCTCATCTGGTTGTGTGGCTACCTGCGCGCCACGATACCCTCGCCGTTGCGTTCGCGCGTTGCTGCGCACACGTGCTGGCAATGAGCTCACTGCAGGCCCCCGGCGGGTTTCTGACCTTGGCCACCCCGTGGCTTTGACGATACATGAGTAATTGCCAGAGCAGGTTCGGAAGTATTGAGTCTCGCTATCGCAAGCTGCGCCCCGCCAACCTCTGTCAAGACCTGCTGGGCGACTGCGATGGGCGGTCCTCGCCAGCAGTCACAAATCCTGCTGGCCTACACAACCAAAGACATGTTTCCCTATCCGTGCGCCGCAGAGTTATACGTCAGTTGCCTACCACGAACCAGGGAGCACACATGGCCAGATTCACATGTGAAGCATCCAGTGGTCACGCGCTGGATACACATGTGGACGCCCAGCGTGCCTATCCATACAAGGACAAAGCGCTGGCAAAGCATTGTGTATATGATGGAGGGTTGGCTAGTCAAAGGTCATTGGTTTTAAGTGGGGCCTGTCCCCCTATAGGCGGATTTGGGAGGACAATTAAAAGATATCAGACATTAGAACGTATCAGAAATATTAAAAAGATATCAGAAAATAGGTCTTTGAATATTTTTGACTTTTTGGGAGTATTCCTCCTGTAGAGGGACAGGCCCGACTTACCATTGGTTCTTTTTCGTGGCCTGCACCTGTGGACAGCCCTACTTGAATCAAGGTACCGTGTGCAATCAAATAGAAAGGCTTGGTAGACAGGGAGCCGAGTCCGGACCCACTTCTGGCTCAACTTCGGGCCAGGTCCGAGAATGAGGATTCCTGGGTTCCTGGGCCCCGTCCTGCCTGCAGGACAGGCCCGATGTTCCAAGCTCGCACGCAGATGCTTTGAAGCTCCCAGCCTGGAAATGGCGTCTCTTGGTATCTCTTGATTCCTGGGCGCCGCTCGCCACGGGGGCCCACCCTCCCCCGTGGCCTCAGCCTGGAAATGGTGTCTCTTGATTCCTGGGCGCCGCTCGCCACGGGGGCCCGCCCTCCCCCGTTGGCCGGAGCCCGAAGCCGGCGGCGCTTAAAATTGTTGGGCGCCGCTCGCCCGTGGCACACGCACCTGGGAGCCAACAGCGTGAAACGACACAAGTAGGAAGGCACCAACTATACACCAACACCGATCCTGGCCAGGATCACCCTGGGCCCAGGATCGGTGTATACGCCCTCCTGCCTTGCGCAAGAAGGCATATACACCGATCCTGGGTCCAGGGTGATCCTGGGCCAGGATCGGTGTTGGTGTATAGTTGGTGCCCTCCGAACAAGGGGTGACACATGGCACCCCGAAAGCCGTGTGAGAGAAACCAATTGTTATACTTGTATTCTGGGAGCCAACATGGAGCCGTACAGTGCAGAACG